AGAGATGAGGTTAAGCGTCTGAAGGGTAAGTTAGTGCTCCTTATCAGGTGGAAGGAATCTTGCTCTCCTGTGCTGGTGGAGATGAACTTCGAGGCATGGGTGGGAGGTGAAAATGGTGAGCCGTGTGTCAACAAAGTGGGCAACTCTCCAACCCACTGGAGACCAAAGTACATTTTCAGAAGCCAAACCAGTTTGTCAGGAGGTAAGACTTGTCCTTAATCTGTCTTCCACAAAAAAAATAACTGATGTCAAAGGGAAGATACAAGTGAAGTTCAGAGGAGAGACAAATACCAATTTGTCGTACAGCTAAGAGCTGCAAAGAGAACAGAACTTTCAATACAGCTTTCTCTCATGTTTCTGTGACTTGCAGAGAAAGCTAAACCGAAAGCCAAGAAGAAAGAAGAACCAAGTTCTATTTTCCAAAGGCAACGGGTAGATGCTTTGCTTTTAGACCTGAGACAGAAGTTTCCACCCAGATTTGTTCAGGTATGACACTTCGAAGCCACACTATTACTGTAACTTACTTAGAACTTAAGGCAGTCATAAGTACTTGAACAGCTGAAACTGAAAGGGAATTTTTTGTGCTTTCTGCAATGGTAACATGGATTAGATAACAGATTCGAAATGGAAGGCTCTCATTGGAGTGTAGGATTCCTCGTTGTAATTGCAGAAGTCATTAAGACCTTGGTGAAACTATGAGGGTGAATTTTGTTATACAAATTCCTTAGCTAATCACAGAGGGTCTGTTCCTGTCAGCTATCAGATTTTGCTGCTGCTTCCAGTTTCCTGCTTTGTGAGCTCAATCAAGCCACCACAGCTATTTTGTTTTACTTACTCCATTGTTCTGGAGGCTTATTAATTAGCATGGAAATTCTTGGCATTCTGTGAAGTTGTTGTGATTGCCTCTAATCATCTCTAGTAGTCTGTTCCACTAGGTCTTCTGCTTGGGAGCAAAGCAAATGATGTTTACAGCATCTCACAAAACTGGTTACCCCTCAGATGTGGGAAAGATTGGCCAACTGCATATTTCTTGCTTTAGTGCTTTTCAGTTGTCAGAGGAAAAACTGGATGTTAGAAAATGTTAATTGTTTAAAGTGTATTTAGCGATCCCTTCTACCGTCAACTCTTAGAAATAAAAGAACGTGTTGCTTGATTTACATTCCTACATGAATAGTAGAAAAGGGTAAGAATTATGACTTTGGTTCCACTGACATGTTTTTTTTTTTTTTCCTTCCGCCCCCACAGCAAAAGCCTGGAGAAAAGCCTATCCCAGGTAAAACTCTTAATATTCTTACAAGACATAAAAAGTAGGCTTTTATGTAGCAGTGTCTTCCAGTTGCCATATAAACTCCTTGCTGCTGCTACTGAGGTGGTTAGGAATTCTGGCACTGCCTAATTGTGCGAAGTACTAAGTAAGAGTTCTCTGTGGCAGCCAGAGTGAAATTGAGAAAATGTGTATTCTACTCCTGCCCTTTCTGTCTGTAAAACTGTGTTGCCTGAAGGTCCAGGTGCAGGAAATGGTCTTTGAAAGGAGGGTGAAAGGGTGAATGAGGAAACAGTTCAGTCAGTCCAGCATCTCAGTGATTTTGCGTGATGCTACAAGCCCAGGAAAGCATGTGAATGCTTTGAGTTGATCATAAGCAACTTCAGAACGGGAAAAACATGAACTATATCTCTTCAATCTGTTCCACTTTTTTACCTGTATAGGTATGAATTTAGTCCTTTGTTGTTCTTATACCTTTGAAATTAATTTTGCCCCTTTGACATCAACAATATATTCTAAGTACTCTGAACAGTATTTTAGGAATAAAAATTGGAGGTTTAACTTTCTGTTGCTTCTTAAGTGGATCAAATCAAGAAGGAACCAGAACCAGCCCCTGAAGCTGTCAAGCCAGAGGAAAAAGAGACTGTAAAGAATGCTCAGCAGACTGCTGGTGCTAAAGGACCACCTGAAAAACGGATGAGACTCCAGTGAAAGAAGTTCTTACACGTTTGGATTAGTCAGTACCTGGAAAACGGGAGATTCTTGCTCCCCTTTTCTTTATATTTAAGCTCTTTCACTGAGACTGATGATTCAGGGACTGAAGTCCCTGTAACAGCTATTGTAGAAACCTGTCACGCAAGTGTTTAATGTCAGATGTGAGCTGCCTCAAAGAAGGTGTCTTCAGTCATCTTATTTTGAATGTTGGTTTCTGAGAATGGTTTTTACATGAATATATTTTGCAGCCTCCTGAAATATTTACAAAATCTTATATCCTTTGTGTCTTGGTTTCCTATGTAAAAAGAAAAAACTTTTTTATATATATATAAAAATAATCGGAATTCTTTGCAAATAAAACTCCTGGCTGCTGGAATACCTTTCTTAAATGCTTACTTTGTTAGCAGCAAATATGCCGTATATGCTGGCAGCATTTTTTTTGCTTGGATATTGGAATATATTATGTGCTATTTTGAGGAAGTAAAGTTCAACTGAAGGATTTCGGCTGCCTGCTCTACATTGCTGTGCCTTCAGTATGCTTGGGATACAGATAAAAGATTTGATAACTGGAGGCTCAAAGCGATGTAATTAGATGTCAAATGGCTCTCAGTCTTTAAGTGTTCTTGGGCACTCATTTTACTTAATGGCAAAGCTGGTCTTATAATAAAAGCTAGTGTTCTGTGAGAGAGATCTATGATGACATAAACCAGGCTAAAATGTCTTGCTATTGCACACTCAGTGAAGCTGTTTATATTTCTCATTTTTTCACTGTAACTCGCATGTATTGGTTAGATCTCTTCCTCTGTGCTTCTAGCACTTTCTTGCTGCATCTGATCACCTTGATTAGTCATCTGCCTTTCAGACCTGAGGGCAGCGGAAGAGGAACATCACTGACAGCTATACGCTTTGCTACTTAAGCATGCTGCTTACGCAAACCAGTTTTTGTCCCAGAAAAATTAGAAGCCATCTATTGCAAAGAAATGACTATTGGTTTGATTTTGTTTTTTCATTGAAGTAATGGGACAATCCTTGAAGTAGCTTGCTTGCTTTTTACAACTGTTACTTGCTTTCTTGTAGTAAATTGTAGTAAGTAAGAAAAAGGTCTTTACGTAGCAAACAAAATGTAGATAGGAAGGAGGCTAAGATATGCTTAGATAGCTGTGTCAAATCTATTTTGAGGTTACGAGAGACTCATTTTTTCTGTTTCAGTAACAATCCATAGCTCTGACAGGGTAGCTATTGAGTGATGGAAAGACCCGTGTAATTTTTGTCCTGTAATTCAAAGCTGTAATGTTAAAAGATGTAGATAAGAGAATAGCTGTTCACTGATGTAGATACAGACCTAAAATTGATCTATCGACGTACTTAAGTGTCCGTTAGCTTTATTTCATACTGTGTGGGTAAAGTTTGAACAGCTATTTCTCAAACTGTTGATAGAAGTAGATAATAAGCTAGTGTGAGCTCTTAAATCAAGTGAAGATATAGAAAGCAGTTATTATAGGATGCTCAAAAGGAAACAGTTATTCAGCATTGAATAATTACAAGGTAGCATGAATACACTTAGAACAAAAGGGTGTTGATTCTTTCTTGTATTAAAGAAATTCCTCTGAAAGCAAGGAGCTGAAGAAGCACCAGAGACATCATCTTATCCACCCTCATGATGGAAGGGAAGATCTCCGGAAATGAGGTATGAGTGGTGAGGAACCTCAAGAGTCCTTGCTGGATTTTTGATGTTCAGAATAAAGTCCTTGTGGCCTTTAAAGGAGTTGAGTTTGTGTAGTAGTTATTTGTATTACTGGGAACCCATATGTCATTTGGAAAAACTTTAGCAAGAAAGATTAGACTACGCTTTAATGAAGATATAGGGTGTTCTTTTTTTTTCTGGAGGGAGAAAAATTAACTACTCGTACGCCAAGGAAAGATACCATGTTGCTAGCAGAAGAAAGATACCTTGCTTATTGCTGAAGGCACATACAGCTGTGGTCAAAGATGGATTCTAGAACACTTGGTATGAACAAAGTATTCTATCAGTCACTGGACTTCACCGGAAATAAAGTGTGTTGTACAGCTCAATGTCTGAAAAAAGAATTCTTCTAAAGTAGAGGGCTTTGAAGAAGGGCAATAAAATGAGTAGGAGAAAGTTTCCCTATGAAGCCCCTGGGAGGACCAAGACTTTAGTTCCTTAGGAAAGACAAATACTGAGTCTTTGTAAAACTGAGTACTGTGAAGCAAGTAGGAAGGTAGAGAACTCTTGTTCTTTCTTGTAGTACAGCAATAGAGGAGCAAGTTAATGAAGCTGAATTGGAGTTATATTTAGACTGAATTGTTATACTCCGTGCTCAGAATCTGAGCTGCTTCAGATATGAAGGTGGGACTTGAAGGGACAGACTGTCCTCATGTCTGCATCTCTTAACAGCTTTTTTGCTTTCTGCAGAAATGTCTGGTATTGGCTGGTGTCAGAGGGCATTAAAAAGGGTGGACTTTGGTCTGATCCCATCGGAGTTCAAGTGCCAGCATCTAAGCTATTGTGAGGATAGAAAATGGCTTCCGTGCATGAAATGATGCATTTGAACGTCATAAGCCTCTTCCAGGGGAATGATCTTTTTCTGAGAGAATTGGATTATAAAGCAGTAAGGGATGTTACCAATGAGTGTGTCGATTTCTTAGTAGTTGTCCTCCAATGCTGAAGGTTTGCCTAATGAAGGACTGAGATATCTTCTGATCCAGTTACTTGCTGACAGGATACTCTAAAATAATTTTATCAGTTAAGTAAGCTTTGTTATTAAGTGACATTAGGTCAGATATTACTATTAAACTTCAAGTAATTTACTGTCAAAAAGCTGTTAAGCAGGTATCTTCTAGTCAGTAATGTTTTTCAGTGTATGAGAATCTAAGCCTTTTCTCTCTGGTATTTGTACGCTGTCTCTTGGTTTGGAGCCTGAGCGCTGAAGTCCAAAGTCCTTCAAAGGACCTTCAATATTTGTAATGCTTATAGATGAAAGGGAAATAAACAAGCGGTTCTGACACTTGCCCTTTACATCACTTCATTTTGCATAAAGGAGAGATTTGGTTGTACAGGAGAGCTATCTCTAGTTTTTGCTCTGAGATAAGAACCATTCAGACTTCAAAGGGGCTTTTCTTGCCCTAAATCATGCGGTAGCAGGAGATAAAAATTACCTAGAACTCTAATAGAAACTCTCTCCTGAAAGTACATGTGTATGTATATACATGAACAGATATCAATACATGTATGTACGTGTGCATATATAGACATACATATGCAGAAGATCCAGCCAGAAGGGGGGGCAGTCTAGCTACCTCAGTTCCCTGTGTAAAGCTAATGGTGCCTCAGATGCAGCAGAAATACTGTCTTTTTCAACTTTTCACTATGTGGGGTCTGACCAGGCTATGCGTTATTCTCACCCATTCCTCTTTGCCGCTCGGCCCCACACTTTGTATTTTGTATATATGTTAAAAAATATATATGTTTTGAGTTAGATGCCTTTTGGACAGTACGTGTTGTTTGCCAAAGCAAGCTGTACTTGGAGCAAGGTTAGAAGGGTATAGGCAGTAGGAGGGACAAGGCAAAGGGGAGAGATTAGCTTTGTTTTGAGACATGGAGGTTCCCTGTGAGAAAAATGGTGAAGATACGGTATGCAAATAGATTGTGGCTTCACTGAACCAACACTGGCTTCTGAACAAAAGCCAATGTGATATGCTTTTTCAAACTTCTTTTTTTCAATGGTAAAGCAAACGATGATAACTAGGCACTCAAGATTCAAGCCAGTTTTTCTTGGGGAGGAAGGTGAATTTTTGATAAAGTGTTGGCTTTGGTCCTGTAATCATGCACAGAACAAAGAAACGGTCACTTATGTGACAAGTGTCCTTCCGTAGTCTAATGTGAATCATAGGTGGATGTGTGGTGGGGAGAAATTTTCCCACAGGGATGAGTTATGATGTATTACTAGTCTCTCAACAATCCAAAGGCTTCATTTCTTTCTGCCAGGACAGTGGATTTCAACCTGTGGTCCACAAGGCTGCTGGAGTATTGTGACCTGTTCCTAAAGACTCAACAGAAGGTAAGTGAGAAGAGTAAACCTTCCTGCTGGTAGGATTCAATTCCATAGGAGCTTGCACCTTCACTGGGAATTTCAATGGGCTAAGATTGAAAAAATAAAAAATTGAAAACCACTGATGAATCGTGAGAAAGACAGTTATACCTGCCAAACAAATGTTTCTTCGGTTGAAGTAGCTACGGATTGCTGTGATATTTTTTTTTCCCCTGGTCTACTTTAAGGTCAGTCATTTTTGATTCTAACCTGTTCATTGTCATGTAATGGGAATCTTTCCCTCCCTGCCCTTTGATCTTTACCTGATCAGAGTACAGAAGTGCAAGGCTTTGGTAACCTGAACACAACAGTGTCATCCCTTTTTACCTAACTTCGATGCTGAAGGGTTTGCTTAGGTGCTCAGCACAGTGTCGCAAAGTTACGTTGACACTTCCCCCCAAGAATAACCTACCATGAGTTCAGTGTGGAACAGGAGTACTTTCTAGTCCTAACTATATAGTTATGTTTATATTAAAAGAGGGAAAAAAAGTAGCAGGCATCTTCTGGGAGGGATGGTAAGACATGTCTCTGGCAAATTGGGAGAGCGATTTACTAGTGCCTTTTCTATAACGAGTGATCACATGGCAGAAGTATGCATTTAAAAATAGCGCTGTAGACACTGCACACAGATTGTGTAACAGAGTTTTTCTATTACAGTTATTGTGGTCTGAGTTAGTTTTATTTCAAAAGACATAATCTGATATAGTTTCCAGCACTGGAATGCAAAACATACTTGAAAAGTAGTGGACAATTATTCAATAACTAACTGCACATGAAAGACTTCACAGAAAATACTTTCTATAATTTTAAAATTAAAACTTAAGAAAATAAATCTAAGGCCAGCACAGGTCACAAGGTCACTTTTAGGTAAAGCAATAATAAATTTCAAACAACACACAGTTACGGATATCTAGAAGGATCTTTCTGGGTGGGTAACTAGGAAGATCCTAACAGAAGCAGGCATCCTCCTGTTCTCATTCCTTTAATCTGAGGTGCTGTATTATAAGGTGTACGCTACCGATGCTCGCCACACTTGCAATGGATGGGCAAGGTGCAAATTCACAGAATCTGAAGCCCCTTTGGACATCTGTTGGTAACCTCCACAGCTGTTGGTTAGGCCTGCCATGTGCCCACCTCGGGGTACCCCGACTGAGGACCCTGGGACACGAGGCAGCAGAGGGAGGCTCTGAGTGCTCTGCCAGCTGCTTCTCTCACTGCTCAGCCTCCTGAGGGGCAGTGCCTGTCTCGGGCAGTTTGAAATATTAAG